ATATATATATATATATATATATATATATATATATATATATATAGAGAGAGAGAGAGAGAGAGAGAGAGAAAGAGAATAATATTAAAAATATATACATATATCGTATAAGTATGTAGCACTAGATATTCATTGCGTTATTTATATAAAAATACTTACAATATGTTGTTAATATTCTTTTACTTTTATATAACTTCTTCATATTTTATATAACTTCTTATAATATATAACACAATGACGTATATACTGTTAGCAGCCATATTGGATTCTAACATTCCTGGACATTTCTGATTGGCTATTATTTTGGACAACTGCGCATCCACGGGACTGGTATACCTTTATATTTACATCATGCATGCAAATATATTGCATTGCAAATATATTGCATTTAGTGCATTGAAAAGAATCTATACATTAATAGCGGTTGCGATCGGAATTTCTATACTGTAAAGAGTCAACCAAGCGTCCTGCAGGCTACGCCAAAACTCAGCTATAAATTTTCTTTTATTGATATCGTAACCCATCTTGAGGTCTCCTCCCGCCGAAAACACGTTCAACGACGATGTAAGTATAATGCCTTTGCTGCCATTATTCCGAGCGTTCAATAAAGATGTCTTTAGTTCATTACACATTTGAACGTCCCATACGTTAACTGGTGCATTTGCTAAGGATATGACATCAATCCCTGTAAGAAAACTACCGAGTTCAGTAAAATTAAATTATAAAAAGGTTGTTAGTGTACGTATGTATAATCATTTCTTTTAGCAGAAAAAGAGCAACACTTTTTTTTAATAACTTCTGCAATACAAATTTGTTTCTCAGTAATACTTAAGAATTCAATTTTACTATTGGATACCAGATGCGTCTTTTTTTGCTATTCACTATATATGTCGGAATAAGGGTGGAGTCCCATGGTATGTATTTTCTGCATACCGCGTAAACGCGTAACCAATAAATTGCGACGTATAGTATTTCTGTTGGAACTTCTAAAAGAATAGAAATGTGATTGGTTACACGGTTACGCGCTACGCAAAAATACGTACCATGGGACTTCACCCTAAAGCCCGTATCAGACTACCGACGCCGACTACGACTGCCGACTCTCAATGTCGGCGCCTCACTGTGATTGGTCCATTGAGAGTCGGCAGTCGTAGTCGGCAGTCGGGTCGGCCTGTGCAGTCGGTAATCTGATACGGGCTTAAGAGTACAGTCCGTTGGCACAGAGTTTTCGCGTAATGCGCATTGCGTAGGCTGCGTTCGGAAATATCACTCTCTCGTGTGTTTTCGTGATTTTAGTTGGAAAGTAGTGGCAGTACCGTGTGCCTTCGTGTGTCGAATGTTTCCGAACGCTTTCCAGTGTAACTTTTAGTGGTTTGTTCTTTTCAGATTCATCTTTTCTCACTCTAATTTATTGCACTAATTCAGCAGTGCAGCTGAAAAGAACAGACCATATAACGTAGGTAACTAGTAATTCATCAGCTTATACCGATGTGCCATGGGAGACCGCACCCTTAGCGAAAAATAGAAAAACATCATTACCTGTATTATTATCTCGTGTGGTTTTGATAAGTTGCATATCGGTCGTGTAAAATCGCTTGAGACACACTCGCCTCGCAACGATTGTTCTTAAAATATTCATTATTAGAAAATTTATATTTTTTTTTAGCAAGAATCTAGAATGATTGTTTGAAAGAATTTTCGTTAGTAGTTTTACGGAATTAATGCTTGTAAATTGAAGAGATATACGAATAATTATTTACTTACTGGAGCTACTTCGTCGATGAGCTTGATACGTCAAGGCTAATATCCTGAGTAGTCTTTAAACAGTTTTAGCCGGCAATCACTGTTTATTAAAAAGTTATAAATAAAAGAAGTTCGAGAAACGTAAGAATTAACTCACTTTCCAGTAAACACCAAATAACATCGATGTGTGTTACAATTTCCCACTCGACAATATAACTTTATATGGCTGAATTCCCACTATTTATATAGCTGACTTCCCTTAGCGCGTCATCCGTAGTCACGAGTTAAATCAATAAAATCGTCTCATTTTATTGCATAACTTTACAATGCGCTTCTCAGATAACGCATCGCTTATTGCTCGACATTTTAAACAAAAAATTTATGGTCCATATTTTTAACTCATTTTTATCGAAAAGTATCTTAAATATGGCTTCTGAGCCAATCAGGTGGCTTTTAAGCCACTTTTAGAGGCACTTTTATCGATAAAAGTGAGTTGAGAATATGGACCAAAGTATGTGTGTCTTGTATAAGGGTACTATTTCACGTGTCGTACGACAAGCTTTTCGGATACGTTTATTGGTTGGCGAATAGAGTATTTCTAGGTTCTCTGTTCGTCAACCAATGAACGTATCCAAAAAGCTTTTCGTACGACACGTGAAATATCAGCCTAAGAGCTGCGCATTCCATTCGTAATGACGCAAAGTCTAGTAATGATGTAAAAATATTCGTAAATTCAAAATTACTATCTAAATGATATTGTGCTAAGTTCCAATTATTAGTAAAAAAACAATTAATGTATTCTAACGATTCAGTTTAGATTTTGTATTATTTTTTGTTTGTTATATCATGTCCCGCTGTACTGCTTGACATAGAAAATAATTATTTTTCAAATTCTTTTACACTACTTAGAAAATATCACAATTAACAACTGTATAATACAATATGCGGAAAATACATGCCATGGAACTCTATCCTGGGACTCCAACCTGAGACTCTATCCTCAGAATCACATTATTCTTCAGTTTCCGTTGCGTCACGATGCGATACGTGACTAAGTGCGAACTCAGTCATATAATAAACGCATTATATATATTATTTGAGTAGAAAATTGTAACATTGATGTTATGTTATTGTTACTTGATGTTTACTGGATTACACGGAAACAGCACGTGAACAGAAATTTTTTAGACTCACTTTTGTCGGAAAGTATGCTGCTTATATTACGGTTACTTTAAAAGATTAACTGAGAAACGACATTGGTTGTCGAGATATACGGTTGAAATATTACAACACGTATACATTAGAAATTTCAAAGAGAATTTATCTCAGGTAATAATTTCCAGTTTTTATACATATGATTGCGAAACTAGACCTACTATGTTGGCACAGTTCTACAATAATAATGGTAAGCAGACAAAATCCATAAAAAAAGAGGGGACAGCGTTGGCAACGTTCAAAAGTTCCTAAGATCCATAAATTCATTTCTTAAGATTAATATCATTATCGGACGGATAAGTGTACAGAGGTGTAGAGTTGTGACAGGTTATATCTCACGGTGTCAAAAGTAACTCTGGTAGTACATGTTGGTTTTATACCCAGCGAGAAAAGTTACGTCGATTCGACGTCTACTAGACATCTATATGAAACGTCTATTTACCATCTACGTCTAATCTAGATTAAGATCTATATCGGCCTAAAAACGGTCCACATTTAGATGTCTAATAGACCGTCATTTCGACGTCTTTTCGACGTCGATCAATAAGTCATTTCTTACTAGATTGTTTCATAAAAATAACTAATTCCTAATTTTCTTTATATCTTATAAACTGGTAGAAATCGAAAATTGTCAAATACACGCTAAAACTTTCGCGAATCCTGCCTCGATAATTTCGAATTCGAAGTGGTCAACCCATCCCACACAGCAAAAGGAAATCTGTGAAATCTCCTAAAGATATCCTGCCGGGATATTGCAATTTCCTACAGATATCCCATAGAAGTCGTGGATATGTGAGGGATATTACTAGGATACACTAATGTCCGCAGTTACGAACACGTATAGATATCGCATATTGTAGTGAAATATATTTGTGTGATATTCCTGGGATCTCTGATTATTGTCGTATACAGGAAAACCCCGGAAGATATATCGCACGTATATTTTACAGATATATTAGTGATAATTATGGTAGATAGTCGGGATATATCTGGGAAAATATTTCTGATAATAATAATGACTAAATTTATACTTGGTGCTTCCCAATTGCTTAACACATCTTGACATATACGTACATAAAACCAGTTTATTGGTCACATATTATCTAAAATAACTTGTAAGATAATATACAACCAATAAACTGGTTTTGTGTAACACAGTATACGCAACTGGAAAGCACCCACTGATTACTTAATATGCATATCAATAAATATATAGTTAGTATAAAATATGTTTAGTAAGTCAATTTTATACCGATATACTAATTCATATGTATATTAAACAATCAATATAATGTAGACATTAGTATTATATCTGAAATTATACAAAATAGAATTACACAAAATACAATAATTATATATTATGGCAAATATTTTATCACAGTTTTAATATTTGTTTTATACAAATACTTTTATACTACTATTAAAATATAATTCTTGTGAACACTTTTAACCATATAGACTTATGGTTTAAGCGTAATAAAATAAATGTTTTTTATATAAAATAAGCAATATTTATATAATAATACACAAAAAATTATATGACACCTTACGCAATATTTCGCACCATTAATTGCAATTTAAAAAATACAATCCTTGTGAATACTTGTAACCATGTCAACTTTGAACGTAAGAAAATAAACGTCTTTTATATAAAATAAGTAATATCTAAATAATAATAAACAAAAAATTATATGGCATCTTATGCATCATTTTGCACCATTAATCGTAATGAAAAAAATACAGTCCTTGTGAACACATATAATTATGTCAATTTATAGTTTAAACGTAACAAAATAAATGTTTTTGATGTAAAATAAGCAATATCTATATAATAATAAACAAAAAGTTATGTAACATTTTATGCATTATTTTGCACCATGCATCGTAAACATAAAGGAACTTAGCAGCATACAATGTTAAGATGCATATTTAGTAGGCAAATAAACAGCGAACGAGTAGCGAGTGAACAGTAAATTTGTATGTGTATGCCGCACCGAATACAAATTAAACGTTTGTAGCATTCTAAAGGTGCATATATACTATGCGAAAAAATGGCTAACAACAACAAACGAACAGCGATTTTGCGAAGATTAGCAAACTAACAACGTAAACATGTTTTACATTTGTTATTCCTGCTTGGTCGCTTAGGATGTATCACTTTTTGCAAAATATCTGTTTACCTTTCATTCACCGTTTGTTCACTTGGTGTATATACATGCTTAAAATGCTACGAACGTTCTGTTCGCATTTTCTGTGACGTACACATTTGCGAATTCACTGTTCACTCGCTCTTTGTTTGTCTAATGTATATATACCCTGACATATAACATATCTGTTAGTAATAATTTCTCATTCAACAATGGGTGCTTTCCAATTGCATTAACATATTTTAACACACACGTACACAAAACCAGTTTATTGGTCACATATTATCTAAAATATCTTGTAAGATAATATGCAACCAATAAACTAGTTTTGTGTAATAGTGTACGCAACTGGAAAGCACCCAATGTAACTGTTGTATAACACACGCGTTATATAACACTTATATTGTTCAGTGAGGAATTATAACTAACAAATGTTTACTGATGAATTGCTATAAGTATTACATACACACGCACACACATATATAATACTTATATATTAATCAATTAATCTAATGTTAATTTATTCACGTCATATTATCCTCATGCAATGTAAGCTACAGTTCTGTTGGAGTCGTTTCCTTATTATTATTCGCAAGTAGTGCCACATTTTTAGTTTTTCTGAAAAAGGAAACATTTAAAATTATATAAATCACTAGTCTTTACACAAAACAACATTATTGTGTCAATGTATGGACAAGATCCTCATCGTGGACATCTTATTATTTATTTATATATTACTTATACATATACATATTCTGTATTAAATCTTTAAATATTCGTATTTAAAACTGATAACAATATATATATATATATATATATATATATATATATATATAT